CCCCAGTCACCTCCATTCCAGCTCAGCAGAGTCCAGATTCAGGATCATCATAGCCTCCATTCCTCTTCACCACCACCAGTGTCTAGACTCCATAGGGGGGTATCCTATCCTGCTGTCGGCCTCATTACCCTTCCGAGTACACGAAGTCGTCACGATGGAGTCTAATCCCCCAAAGACTTTGCACATTCAAATCTAAATTGTTGCACATTTATTGTTAAATAAATAATTGTTCATTCTCAATTAAGCCTCTCCTGATTGAATTCAACTGGCTGAGGAGCTATCTACATAACAGGCAACAGTTTGTGAAGTTGGGTGAATACACGTTATCTTGTTTGGACATTGCTTGTGGTGTCCCCCAGGGGTCAGTGTTGGGCCCAATTCTTTTATTCTCTACATGAATTATATATGTAAAACCTCAAATATTCTACAATTTGTGTTATTTGTTGATGACACAAATATTTTTTGTACGGGAGAGGATTTGTAGCAGCTTCTGGAGTTAATTACATCTGAGATTAGCAAATTAAAAAGGTGGTTTGACAATAATAACTTATTATTGAATCTAAGCAAAACAAAAATCATGTTGTTTGGAAATTGTAATTTAAATAATGACATAAATGTTAAGATAGATGGTGTTAATATTGAAAGAGTGTATGTAAATAAATTTCTAGGTGTGACAATAGACTACAAGCTCTGCTGGAAACCTCACATAAAACATGTTAAATCTAAACTGTCACATAGCATCTCAGTCCTGTGTAAAGCAAAGCATATATTGGATCACAAATCATTGCATATTCTCTACTGTTCAATGATCTTACCTTATTTAAATTACTGTGTGGAGGTCTGGGGGACCACTTACAAAAGCTCACTGCTACTAGTCACACTTCAAAAACGAGCCATAAGAACAATCAATAAAGCGGGATATTATGATTACACCAACCTCCTGTTTTTGCATTTCCATACTATAAAGTTCATTGACCTGGTTGACTATCAAGTGGCACAAATCATGTTCAAAGCAAGAAACAAACTGCTACCAGGTAATATTCAAAAAAAACAAAATTGACAGAGAGGGGGGTTATAATTTGAGGGAAAAGTTACATTTTAAGATGCTAGCTGTTCGCATGACTTTAAAAAGGCAATGCATTTCAATTGGTGGTGTGAAACTGTGGAATGGTATGAGCACGGAGCTAAAGCATTGCCCAAACATGATCCAGTTTAAAAAAATGTACTAAGCAATGATTTTCAAAAGGTACAGGGATGAGGGAGAGCTTTAAGAAGGAGAAAGAAAAAAATAATAATATTAATAATAATAATAATAATAATAATAATAATAATGATAATAAATTAAATATAATAACAACAACAATAATAATAATTGGGTTTACAAGTTTTGTATACACAGGTGTATGTTAATGTGTATTGTAAATTGTACATATAGTAGCCTATATCAAATTGTGTATATATATATATATATATATATATATATAGCTATAGATTGTAAATGTATAATTGTAAACATACTGTATAGATATAAGGATTGTATAAATATTAGGGCTGGGCAACGATTAAAAGTTTTAACCGCGTCAATCGCATGAGTTCCTGTGATTAATCACGATTATCGCATTGTTATACACAAAATCCAATCATGAATTAAAAAGTAGTGTATAGCGCACTTTTATTGTAAATGTACTTCTCAACTTAAACAATGTAATCAAAGCAAATAAATACAAAACTAAAGCTTATTGCATGTGGGGTCTCCTCTCTGCTCTCTGACTGCAGCTGGGTCTGTTGCGCGAGCCTACACTGACAGCTTGTGAGTGCTGTTGGAAGGGGGAGGGGCTCACAGCAGCACCCGCTGTTGACTCGCTCGTTGAGGACAGTAACTGCAGAGCAATATGTGCTTTCACGTCAGTTTCTTACTCCAAAAAAGTCTCCAATAACTCCAGAAAAAGTCGCTAGATTTGTCGCTAGTAGCTGTTGACAAAAAAAGTCGCCAAGGGAGTTTGGAAAGTCGCCAGATTTAGCGAGAAAGTCGCCAAGTTGGCAACACTGTTTCCTCTTTCCTGTGAGCGCCGCAGCAGACATGCGCAGCAGTAAGCAACATACTAGGCTCGCTCACGATGGAATTTTATAAAATAAAAGCCAGTGAGCAACAGACTTTTACAATAAGAAAATAAATGATAAAAACTGCGTTAATGCGAGATAAAATAATTGTCGCGAAAATAACGCGTTAACGCGCCCAACCCTAATAAATATATAAAATGTAAATATATTACATCAAATTGTACAAATAGATATGTATAGTAGATATATGGATTGTTTAAATATATAAATTATAAAAAATCATAGTATATCAAGTTGTATATATGTAATGAAAATCATTGGATTGTAAATATCAAATATAGTATCATAAATATAGTATATCAAATTGTATTTAGATAGATTGTATATGGAGAGAGATTATATGGAACACAGGAAGTTAATTTAATTTAATAAATATTAATTATTGAGCTGTGGAAAAGGGGTAGGATTACATAAGTTTTATACTTCTTCCTACTCCTTTTCAGGCTTACCAATTGAATATATGTAATTTGCTTTTTCTTTTTCTTTTTTGTGAAATAATTTGAACATTGTTTTTTGTTTATTGTATTTTCGTGCTTTTCATTTTGTTTTGTATTTTTGATATGTTTCATTTTATTTGATATGTCTGAAATAAATTTAATCAATCAAGCAATCAAGCAATCAATCAATCAATCAATCAATCAATCAATATACCCTGTGATTTCTGTAAGTTTCATTAGAGGATTAGAGGATTGTGAAAACAAGCTATTGTTAACAATAACATTTCATGAAATAAAACAAAAAATCACAATGAATCACACACCAGCAAAATGTTATATAGAAAGGTGATGTTTTCTTTTCCATTTTACAATCAACAGAACCTAAAAATGACTAATTTCAACCTTTGTCTGCACACAGGTGAAGGAACCTCCTCCCTTTTTTCACCTGTGCTACGACTAAGAGCTGTGCCAGATGCCCTGCTCGTCCACTGTGGCAGAAATGACCTTACACCAGCAGCTCTCCGTGATGAAGATAGTCCTCTCTGCCGCATAGTCTCGTCACCCAGAGGAGCTGATCGATGTCTGCACAACTGAAGAAGGTGGACAGAGTCTGGTGCTTTGTGACAGTGAACAGTGAGAAGGCTACCATAGTCATCCTCAGAGAAAACGCAGAGATCCTGGTCAATATTCAATGAAGTTATTTTAAAGTGCTATTTTTCTTTACATGATAGGATAGGATAGGATAGTACTTTATTGATCCCCAGAGGGAAAATCCGGGCATTACAGCAGCACAGACAAGAAAGCTCAAATACACATTAAACAGAATAGATAAGATAAATAAAAATAAAAATAAAAACAGGGGGTATATACAGTACAAAATGAATGATGAAGTTAACTGGGGGGAATTGAGAATTGAGACAGTATTTGCAGAGAATGACAAAATAAAGTGACAAGTGATTAAAGTGACTTGGTATGATAAATAAATAGCAGCAAGTAATGTAAACAGCAGAGAAGAGAGGCAGTGTTGTACCACAGTACTGCAGAGTGCAGTTATATAATATAATGTAGTATAATATAATATAGTGCAATATGAACAATATAGTGTAATATAATGAAATGTTATATAATATGGACTAGTATAATAATATAATAAAAATATATAGAATGTACAGTATATATGTATATATATATATATATATTGACCTAAATAATAATAATAATACAATAATACAAAGATACTAATGAAGCAGGTCATGTGGGTAGTGTTTTATGGGGGTGAAGTTTAGTGTCAAGGATGGACTGTTATTGTTGTCATAGGCTGCTGTTGTACAGTCTTATGGCAGTGGGCACAAAGGAGTGCCTGAAGCGCTCTGTTTTGCACCTGGGGGGGGTTGAGGCGTTGGCTGAAGGAGCTGCCCATCTGCCACAGCTCACCATGTAGAGGGTGAAAGGAGTTATCCAGAATGGATAAGATTTTTTCCTTCATCCTCCTCTCACCCACTGTCTCCAAACTGTCCAGATCCAGACCCACTACAGAGCGGGCCTTCCTCACCAGCTTGTTCAGCCTGTTTGCCTCACCAGTCTTGATGCCACCCCACCAGCACACCACAGCAAAGAAGAGGGCACTGGCCACCACAGACTGGTAGAAGGTCTTCAGGAGTCTGTTGCAGACACTGAACGATCTGAGTCTCCTCAGGAAGAACATCCTGCTCTGTCCCTTCCTGAAGAATTGTTGTTCAAGGACCCCAAGGTACTTGTATGAGTCCACCCTCTCCATACATGATGTTGCCCTGTGTTTTAAATGCCAAATGCTGGAGGGTTGTGATGGATTTGCTTTTCCACCATATTTTAACACTCAAACAATCATCCTGGATCTCGATACTTTATTCGATTTTTGTTGGGATTTCTTTGTTAAATTATTTTTTATACTTTCTCCTATATCCCAAAAATTCAACCTGATGGTCTCCCTTACTTATTTTCCACGTGGCAAATGAAGCCAGTGGTTGTTTATTGAGGTTTTTTTCATAAAATGTTTCAATAAACTTTTAAAAAATCTGACATGACTGTCTCTGATTAACTGGAGCACTACAACGTGTTGGTCACAGTTAAAGAATTTAGCAGTTAAGTTTATAGCTCACAATTAAAAAAGGCCTTGAACTGACATTCATTTCTTCTGGTCTAACAACAGCGAAGACAACAGGAGAGCTCAACTTGTCACAGCCGGGCTCGTCTGAGATAAATGGCCTTCAAATGTATTTAATATTAAACATTTAAAGCCAATAAGCATAGCAAGATACGCATGAGATCCATTTCCATTTATTTAATCAAAGACTTGTCAAACAGTCTGGCATTTTGTGCTGCTGTTTTCAAGAGTTAATAACTGAAGAGAAGAACTCCATCGAGAGAGGACAGGAAACGCTCAGGGGACGAGTCCTCCATGTTGTCAGGGGTTGTTGATGGATCTGAATCTGAGGGCATCTTCTGTAATAAAGAAAAACAATCAAGGAGTTAATTGTGAAATAAAATGAATTTTGATGTGATGTTTCTGCCTCAGACCTGAAATCAGATCTGTCCTCAGGTTCTGCTAAACTTAAGGTTCTAAAGTTTGCTTTTGTAAAAAAGTAGCTGATCATGTTTTTGTTTTCCCATTAAAGACAGGAGAACTATTTAAGAGGAAAAACTAAATATATAATTAGACATGATGAATCCAATAATATGATCAGCTTTATGAATTTATGTTTTAAGACAAAAGTGTTCCTGCCACTTTCTATTGAAGAATATTTAAACTGTCATCACATGGGCCAGCCTGATAAATTAAACTAATGCTAAACATTCTCATATAACCACGACATAAACAGAGCTACAATAATTAACTTTTGAGTTAACAGATTGCTGCTGCTGGATATCACCTGAGAGGCATCAGAAGCTTGTATAATTTAATATACATAGAGTATTAACTCAGTGTTAGATGGACTGTGGCTATGAGTCTGTAATACTCCTTCTTATATCACTTTAAAGTGAGCTAGCTCTTTACCTGAAAGAGTGACACAATCTGGGACTTGTGTTCCTCGTACATGGAAGCCAAGTGTCCTCTCTCTTCATGTCTGAAAGACAGATGAGCAGAACCGGTTTATACTGGTTTTTGTTAGCCATGGAAACTTTTATTTCTGAAGTGCAAACACATCAACAAATTTAGTTTAGACAAAACTCCCTTTAGACACTAGGTGGCGGTATTGGGCTGTTGTTTAAGTTATTGATCAGTATTTGGGTTAGTTGTTGTTTGCCCTGAAGCAAGTTCAACATATCCAGGCTTTCTTTAAAGTAAGCTGATTTAACAAAGCCAGAAGCTCCAGATAAAGATATCTGATAGCATGAGCTGATTATGAACTTTGTCTGCAGGCATTCTGCTTCAGGCTCTCAGCACGTCACAAAAAGGGGGCCTGTGAAACGTCTTTTGACCATTCTTATTCAGAAAAGTGCTGGGTGCAGGCGGTCCAATATAATGAGGTGTAATGATGAAGTTAACATGGTAAAACATGATGCTGCAGAAAAGTATTGTGTTCATTGGTACATGAATTTATTGATTTTACCACACACTGCACCACAGTGTCTCCCGTTGATTTATTATTTCTAACTACTCACAGTACAACTTAAACAGTGAGACGTGATTTCAGCAGTGTGAGCAGAAACTGCAGTCAGTTGGATTCTTGTGCTTCATGAGAAACATGCAGAAGCTTCAGTATTTGGCTAAAAAAAAGTAAATTCAATGTACTGATTTGGTGTTGTGTGGTAAATATCCATTAAACGAATCAGACAGCCAATCTGTGTGCAGAAACTCACTGGAGCTGGAATCAGAGTCTGGACTGCTGTTTCCTTTGAGCACTGATTTCCTTGAGGACAGAAAGAAGAACAATTTAAACATGAACTTCTTGCAGAACCATAGAGGTTGTTAAAATCTTCTGCTAGTCTTCCTTACATTTTAAGAAAGAATATCAATTGTTACTAAAATTACTTTGATGCAGATAGCGGTTACAATAACACGGTCCAATCATATGAGAGATCATTTTACCTTTGAGTCCTATGTGAAGGCGTTCTCTTCAGAATCAGCACTGCAAAGACAAGATGATGGTGTCCACCTTCACAAGCTGCTGCTTCAGTCTGGCTGCATCATGGTTACCTACAGGAACACCACAGAAATACAATCAAAGTACTTTACTTTATTTATCAGAGGATGTACTGTATGCAAAGTAGAATTCATTTTATTAGCAATAATTCCTCAAACAGATTTGAGACTGCTTTGTTATTTGAGGGGTTCAAATGTAAACTCTTTAAACTAAAAAGTTATAACAGACAATGAAATATCCAAAAGAGCATTTTAAATTAAAATAAATCTTGTTGAACAGAAATACTTTTAATAACAGGAAAGTTAGTATATAACATATGAGCCACATAATCATGGAGCAAAGCAAGAAAAGTATTTCTGAACAAATTCTGAATATGCTGAACTAAAGTCACAACAAATCAACTGTAAACTATTGAATTGACTCCTGGTAGTGTGCTGAAGTCTTGAATATTAACTAAAGAAAATTAACACTAAAGTCAACCTGTTGAAGTCTTGGTAGAATATGATCAGCCCGTTTTGAGTCCTTGTACAAATCATATTTGGTTCATATTACATTTCACCATCGGCTGCTGATGTTAACATGTCCGTTCTGTTTCTTTTCTTTTAACAGTTAGAGACATATTCTATTTTAACTTAAGAGACCTTAACAGACATAAGCTATTTATTTTAGCTTGAAATAATTTGACGTAAAGTAAAGTTATTGTCGGTGACTGAATTTTACTTCCAGTTGATCTCGGAAGTCGGAAATTCCCAGTTGGTAGTCTGAAACGTCATCAGACATGCCCCCTGAAGTCGTAATCTCAGAGCATTGTAAAGTCCAAAAGTCAAAATTACAAAACAAAAAGATCAACGTAATTATTTCCAAAATTCACAACATGTTTTTATCTAACGAAATATTCAGTTTCAATTATATTTGTTTGCATTTAGACTTTAAAAAACAACATTTTCACTGCGGTCAAAAAACTTTTTGCTCTCCCACTACGCACCTGTATTAACGGGAAGGTCTAGGAATAAAACATTATTGTGAAAGAAATAGCCTAAAAGGCTTCAAAGTCTATGGGTCCACTGTCTTTCATAATTTTTTTCTGGAATAAAAACGTTTCAACCCACCTGTTTATTTTACAAATCGCACCCTGTAGGTCTGCAAAGAGGTACCCAAATTATAACCAATAAGAAACATTATTTTAAATATAGGCCTATTACTCAGTTTCTTTCTCGGTTTAAATTTGGTGAAATGTACATGTGTGGATTACACTGAAAGTCTAGTATTTTCATCTTTTACAACAGCCCCGATGTGAGGATGTGACCCATAGATGTGACCTAGTGCAGTCGTAGCGTCACTACGTAAACATCGCTGTTACGTCATCACGCAGTAGTTGTACGCGCCGGAGCAGGGTGTGAAGATGGCGGACGAGGAGGCCGAGCAGGACCGCAGTCCTGAGAACCGAATCACTGAAACCATCAGGGAATTAAGACAACGGTTACAAGAACTGCAGGAAGTGGTCGTCCGAGAGGGTAATGACTCCCCGGTCCAGTCCTCCTCTGAGTTCTGCCAGGAGTTCTGCAGGGTGAGTTATTTTATCCACACATTTCACTGTGCTAGCGTTAGCCAGCTAGCCTTTAATCATAACGGGTCGTTGTGCCTCCTGGATAATCCGGGAAATATAAAATGTGCTTCTATAGGAAGGAGTTTACATTCACTGACTTGTCCTTTTGCAGAATAAAAGTAAAAGGCATGGGTTTCACTGTAGAGAATCAGTGAAAACAACAGCGTGAACATGGTTAGCTCAAAAAGCTTTTTTAGCTGAGCTCGTTAGCTGATTCTGATCGTCAAGAAATCATTTAATATGTTGTTACCTTCTGTTTGATGGATCCACTGCACTTGAAATAACACAGTGATATTCTAATCCATGTGGTAGTTATGCTCAGTATTGCGGTTACATGTAAATATCGGGTTAAAGAGGTGTTAGCTTGACGTTAGCTTTTAGTCCTGTCTGTTTGGCTACATGCGCGTGCACGATTATTGTCTCGCGGTGATCACGTAGACCTCAGGTAACATAAAGGATCCGTCTCTCCCCGGAAAGGACCAGACAAGGCTAAGGTTGTTAAGAAGTTCGATACGTCGATACTTTTCGATACCAGATGTAGTTAAATCAGTATAACCTGTTTTTGTTATTTGTTTATGTTGTAGCTGCATCATTATCATCACAATATGAGCATTAAACACATCACCTTAGTCTGGATTTATCAAGGTAAATAACTACAATTGTAATATTTAAAGGACAAATATGTAAGATATCCACTGTAGTCTAACTAATAACAGGACCTTACTACATCTTTAGACGATGTTTTCACATATGCACTCTGGACAATATCTAGATAATTACAGGAGGACTTCTCTGGAGATTCTCCCGATCTAGCCATTCACATGTGCTCCTCACAGCGGGGGACCTTGCCTGTTAGAGGGGGGTCCCGATGTAAGACATGGCGTAAATAAACAACGCAGAAGTAGCGACCGAAGCAACAGAGTCCGCTACACAATGTTATAATGAGAATATTTGTCTTTATATCAATGCTATGTGTCGTCCAATGGAATGACAACATCCACAAAAGAGAGGAGAACAACATACTGACAAACAGAAAACCCAATGCAGCCGTTTAATTACGTGCACAGAGATCGTAGTGGTCGCGTGCAGACACTTTAGACAGTCACTGTATATAAACGTCATTCTCTTTTCATTGGCTGAAATTGAAATCTCTGGAGTACATTCGGCCGCGTTCAGACATCAGCTCACTCGGATATTCTGCGGATAAAATACTAGGGGTCTGGCTGGAGAAACTCCAGGTAAAGTCTGTGCGAAAAATGCGGCTATTTGCGTTCACACATAACCTAAAGAACCTCTGGGTAGCCTAATCTCCAGAGTTTTTCAGGAGATTTCCGTATGTGTGAAAAGGGTTTAAGCAAACATGCTATGCTGAAGTGTTGGCTTCTCTGACAGCAACACAGCAGCCAGTATGTCCTCCTCATAAGTTTTGATTCCCAGCCAAACTTTTTGACTTTTTTGTTTTGATCAGAGAAGGTAGGCGGTTTTAAGGCAACCCCACACTACTGTTTTGGACATCCCTCAGTTTGTCTGATATGTGCCCAGTTATCACGGCAAACCAAAAGGTGTTGCAGCGATGGAAATGGGCAAGCTAACTGGTTCAGATGTAGCTTGATTATAACCCACTAAAAACTAGTCATTTTTCTAATAAGCTCAACGTGGTAAAACTAGGATAAATATTGTAGATGTTTTTTAAAAATTGAGAGAGGTCAGAACACGTACATTTTTCTGCATTGCAGAGCTGGCTAAACACTGAAGCTTCCGCATCCGTGACATGCTGGGTTCGCATCAACTCTAGGAAGGAGGGTGTTGGGGGAGACGGCTCTCTCCAATATTTTGATTTTGGCGTGCAGTACCACATAAAAATACGTGTCAGAGATACATATTGCTCCTTTAAAGATCAAATTGTTTCTCAATCAGTTTTGCTGCTTTCATCATACTTCATGGATGTGCAGTCATGATGACAAGTTCTCTGGTCAGAAAAACGTAACAACAAACACTGATGTTAGAAGTAAGGCTGATTTTTTTTTTTTTGTGGCTGATCTTTAATTACCAAAAAAGAGTAGAACAATGTTATGTTATTGCAGTGGGCAGTGTGTCTGTATACTGCAGTGTTTACTGGATGTGTAGTTGAAAAGGTCAGATGTAATGGGTTGTTGATGCTGTATAATAGGCCTCTTGCATCTATCAATTTGCAGTTAAAATGACTAAAGTATGAAATCTTTACTGCTGTGCATTTCATTGCTATACTCGATCAATATTGTTTAAAACTACTTTCTTTACGAGTCTATCTTTTTCTAAAAAACAACTCCTCCATCTTTAACCACACTTGCTTCAGCCCTCTGCTATTGATAGCTGAAAGCACAATGCCAAAGGAGAGAGCAGGTTTTCTAATTACTCTGCAAATAGACTTGTCCCTCTCAGTTTTTATACCTGCATCCACCAACTTTATTTTTGAATTAAATCAATGATACAAAAGCGTGTGGTCTGTTTTGGTTTGCATGTATAGGGCAATGCTTAGTTTTAGTTTTGTTGGAGAGAGTTTCTTCTGTGACAGAGAGAAATGTGGATCAGAGGAACAAGAAAGTGATAGGAAATTTGGACATTAGCAATGGTTTGGCTGAAGCCGCCTCATTGGATCTTCTGTATCCGCTGACGCATTGGAGAAACTCAGGTTATAAACCTGAAACCACTTTATTCAGTGATTTCTTATTTTTTTTAGGGATGTATGTGTTCATTCGACAGCAAATAGTTAAACATCAACACCCTCTCTAGTCAGCACCTGAATTACTGTTCAATTTAACAATTTATTAATACTTTAGACTTCTATGCCGGTCAAATCTTGTACTGTAATGTAGGCGCCCAGTTAATGGACCTGCTCTCCTCGCTCTACAGCCCAGATGTAAACAAGCACAGTGAACGGATAGCATCTTAATAGCAGGTTGTAGAAGCAGCAGTTTTGCAGTGTTTTGATCTATGAATGAAGGCATATCAACTGGAGCAATGAGTAACCACATTGAGCACGAGCATGTTGTTAAGCATCCATGTGGAGGACTGAAGGCTGATGATGCTTGTGCTGCTAATGTTAGCCACAGTCTGCAAACCAAATTAAGTCGTTCTCCCACCAACAATTTGAGTCAATTGTGCTCAA